ATATGCATGTCGATCACTCAAATTTCATAGTAAAAAATTTACCCCTGTGATCTGCGTGACAAATCGGGTGCCTGTTATCATAAGTATTATAACAGTATTGTCATAACTACGATACGTATAAATGAGCACTAATTCCGTAAACAATAATGAAACATGCCGTATATTATTATACAAAAATGACAAAAATGATCGATTTTTGTATTTTAAACAAATTAAACAAAACAACGTAACTAAGTTTTCGTGCAACATTCATTGTTTCTGTATACTCTTGATTAAGGGAACACTGAGAAGATGAAAGACTTTTTTTTTGTACTATAAAACGCTTTTTAAGTACGTATGTACGTACGTGCATATTGGGTATATTATGAGTTTTTTACCGTTATGGTATCGGTTTTTTTTTGTTTCGGGAAAGAATGTCATCACACAGTTTTATAATCATGCATTATCGCTTTATTTAGCTATTTTTACTTCAAAATGGATAAAGCAAATTTTGGCTGGGAGTTACAGAGTAGAGTACTTCTGGATGGTATTTACTAGTTTATACCGAATTTATTAATTGCGCCAATTATTCATTCGTTACTTGGCAATTTGTACTACATTGCTGATTTAGTTTTATGGGGTAAAAATATAAAAATTACTTAAAATAACTTCTTTAGACTGCTTTCAATCAAAAAAACGGTCTATAATTATTATGTCTACTTCTGATCCAGATAATTCTGACACTGCTCCTGCTTTTCTGTCTATCGCTGAAAGAAAAAAACTTCTGCAAAATCAAGGACTTTTTAGATACTTTAAGACAAACATAATACAAAGGTGCAACAGAACAGCTAATGTTTATGTGAGACAATTGTTTGGCACCTGAGAAATTGATTCGTTGGCTATACAAGAAATTAAGAATGAAATCTCAAAGTTAAAAATCTGTATGAATCATTTTAATTATGACCATAAGACTATACACAGAGGTGATATAAAGGTGGCACATCCATCTAGCGAAAGCAACATAAACTTATGTCGTTATCTCTTCTGCAATAAATACAAATATTTCTTTACTAGAGGTAAAGCATGCCCAGTGTATAGGTGGAAGGTATGTGGACGCACAATTCAGACACCATGTCGTGGCTTGTTCAATTGTTCAGCAATTACCGAATATAATAGCTTATCAAAAAAATCACATGATGATGATAATCCTCGATTCGTTTGTGCAAACTGCTTTGTAACTCACGGAGGTCATCTACAAACTCGACCAGAGAAAGTTTCATGTGTAGAACGAGGACAACATGAAGCTGATGCCACATCTTCTTTAAAGTTTTTTGCAAAGTGGATTGAGCAAACTGCCGAATCTGAAGATAAATTGATAAAGACCGATCTATTAGTAAAACTTATTAAACTTTTTAATAGCATTACTACCGCTAGTGTATCTTCTACAGCACTCTTGATTCCAAGTTGTTTTTTAATAAAAACAGCATTTGCTGTTAGAAAAATTAAAGTTAATGAAACACAAGAGGAAATACTGAAATACAATACTAGCAAAGCTCTTGAAAATATGCTTGCTAATTCTATATTGCAAGAATGGCCCAAACTTAAGGAAAGATTATCGTCGCTCAAAAAGCCTAAATCAGTAGAAGAATATATGTAAAATCAAACCAAAAAACCTTCCATACCCTAACCCTAACTCTAACACCAACGGCGATAGTAATGCTAGGTGTTTATACAGAAGATCATCATATGATCACGTGAATTTCAGCATCATCCGATTTCAGCATCATCCCCGACAATAATTATATTATATAGAAAATTATATCACTATTATAGCAGCACAAATGTAGTTTGAAATCTTTAAATGTAAAACTTCTATTTATTAAATGAAATTTCAACTATGGCATTTCAGCATTTACAAAAAACTTTATTGATTCAATAGTTCATCATCAATAAAGGTAAAAGATGATTAACATATAAACATGAACCAGTACTCGAGTTTATTTAACCCGATCGGCAATGTTCAAGGCAAAACCCCAAAATGCCTCTGGTTAAACCGACATCTGGGTATATCGGACAATTTATTTTTTTGAGATGCCGATATAACCAGAGTGACGTGAAATTGTTTTTTTTTTAAAAAATAACAATATGTTACCTATATTACTTTAAATGAAGGATATTGTTAAATATCGCAGGTTGCTATATCGCATGCTAATATGATCGACCAATTAGATCACAGGATCTTGTGTAACAAAAATGAACGAACTATTAGAAAAAAGTCAAAGGTTTAAATCTCTCGAAATGTCATCATGTAAACTAGTCTTGGGCTCCTAATTAAAAGTTTTCAACACTTAATTTTGCATATATATATGCCTTCTAATACTAGCTCGAACCCTAACCCTAACTAATAAAATTTTTAATTTTTTTAAAAATGTATATTAACCTGCGATATCACAACCTGCTAAATTTAACAAATTCCTTAAATGAAATTCATGCCGTCAATACAATTTTCTTGGAACCTATAATTAGCTAGCTCGAAATACATTTCATTTTTTATTTTATTTTTATTTTTTAATTTGACAATTATTTAATCTCTAACTCAATATTTTTAAAACGGTATCAACAAGGATTAAAGCTCATATTGGTGCTCTACCACAACTTTTCGCAATGAAAATATTCCGCTTAATAATGCCTAGAATTTACTTTTCATCCCTGACCACGTAAGTCCATACTTCATCGAAGACGGGACCACCTCCCCTGAATCCTTTTTGCGGTAAATAATAATTTCTGATTCTGATAGTGTAGATTCTATGACGTAGAAGTACCAGAATTGGGTTCGACTAAAGATATATTGCACAACTTTCTAATTTTAGTTCACAACTTTCGCTCAAATTTTTTTTTTTTAAAGATCTAAGTTTTGTACGTTAAATTTTAAATAAACTTTTTTAGACTCAATCAACATACGTCTAGTACACGTCTAAATACAGAATCTTAGTTACGGCAAATGTCGGCTGCTACGGCGCTTTGACGTAACTGCGTAACCACATATTCCCAGGTTTCTGCAGAATATTTTTAAATTAGTCTAAGATCAAAATTAGTGTCTATAAAAACTTTGATCGCTAAGGCCAAGAAATTTTAAATCCGTTCTCATTTGCCACAAATATAAGCGCGACTAAAAAAAAAAAAAAAAAATTTATATGTGGGTGACGCCAAGAGAAGACAGAAATTTCAACAAGTGCTAGGGTATTTTCTTGGTATGACTTGTTTGTATAATGATTTTTGCTACCCATATTTCCTACTTTTATACAATTATTAATTAAGAACATTTGCATTTAGTACCCTCAGAATAGTACCCCAAATTAAGATATTATTGCTCAAAATTCTGACTTTAATACGTACGCACAAATGATTACTTATCAGGCACCCGATTTGTCACATCTAAAATTTTATCATATGATTTTCATAAGTTGCACAAATCGACGAAGTTACAGTTT